TCCTTGCAAACAATCTTTGAGACAAGTCCATAGTGCAGTTCCTCACAAACATGAGATAACATCCTCTCCTCTAGTGGAAGCAGTCTTCTGAAGATGTACCCCCTGCTCAGTAGAGTGTTTTAAGAACAACCTCCTCCTGCTCAATCCCAAATTCCTCCCAAACTATAAAAGAAACATGAACCTCTCTGAAGTAACAAGGAAGTGGCTTCTTTATGGATGTTGTCAGAGGCTGTATTTAGAGAGTCAGACCATGCACTTACTGCTCCCTGTTTAGGGAGCAGTTTAGTTTTGCTACGGTAAACCTGTGTGTGATGTTTGTGCTGGTGAGGGCTTTAGTTAAGATAACCTGTAGTTTAAAAAATGCAAGAAGGTAGATCTACTAAACCTAATACTACTACTGTCGTAGTATGTGGAATGCACATATTCTGTTTTAAGTTTTGTAATTCCGAGTAGCTGAATTCTGAGCCCAGATTCTCTGAAAATCACACACAGAATCACAGAACGGTCAGGGTTCGAAGGGACCTCTGGACATCATGTAGTCCAACCCCCCTGCCAAAGCAGGTTCACCTAGAGCAAGTTGCACAGGACTGCATTCAGGCGGGTTTTGAATATCTCGAGTGAAGGACACTCCACAACCTCTCTGGGCAGCCTGTCCCAGTGCTCTGGCACCCACAGTGAAGAAGTTTTTCCTCATGTTTAAGTGGAATCTTTGTGTTCCAGCTTTTGCCCATTGCCCCTTGTCCTATCACTGGCCACCACTGAGAAGAGTCTGGCCCCATCCTCTTGACACCTGCTCTTTAGATATTGATAAACATTCATAAGGTCCCCTCTCAGTCTTCTCCAAGCTAAACAGGCCCAGCTCTCTTAGTCTTTCCTCATAAGAAAGGATGCTCCAGAAAGATGCTCCAGCCCCTGGAGGTGATCAACAGAGAACAGATGTCCCTGGCACCGAAACATTGCCTGTGAATTCTGCTGAATGAAAGTGAGTAAACTTGTAACTAAGGAGAGTTTTTACGTACTTCTACAATTAGCCAAGATGCTAAGCATCATATGACTAATTTTTATTTGGCAAAAGATAGACATGAAGCCTCCTACCTCTGTAGTACCCTGGCAGATTCTCATACACGAGACGAGGTTTTTTTTGTTATCTGTGTTTGCCAATATCAGATAACTTGTTTTTCATAAAGTGTGGAGCAATCCTGTTGCCTTTCCAGTTACCTTGCAGTCTGAAACAAGGTGTGACTTAGGACTCCAAATGGCAAGAAGAGATACTGCTTTGTGACAGCTTCTGTAGATAGTTGGAGAATTGACCATTTATCTTTTCACTGATGAGGCACCATTTGTAGAATAGCTAACTGAAGCAAAAAAGCCAGCCTGGTAGACACAGAACATTTTGGCTTAGTCCATGTGATAAAAATAATCCTTAGTGGGAACCAAAGTGATAATTCAGGTGATCAGTTACAGTTTAGCCTCCCTCCACAATTCAATGCCTGCTATTAGGGATGGCAGGTTGGTGGGTAGTCACCATGCAGTGTGAACTGGTGGGAGTAGCAACTGGATACCTATTTCAAGTGCGGAAAACAATGTTC